GGGAAAATAGGGTGTTACAATTGGTATCAGAGCAGGTCGGTCCGGCCGACCAAGTTGTCTAATGTTGTTTGTTCCTTAGTACGGGATAAGTGTGTGAAACACTATCGGTACTTGCTTGCTTTTCTAATCACTTGTTTGCAGGAGTGGGATTGAAACAAGTGGGGGAGAAGCTTGTGCTTCTATGAGATGGTCCAGGTGTGAACAATTGGTTTAGTATGTCGTGAAGTGAATGGGTGCATACGTTAGTGCTGCTGTGTTGTTTTTCCAACTTTGAAGGAAGTGCAGATTCAAGATTTACTCCTAGCGGTCGGGTCAGAGTTTCCTTGAGTGGGAATGATCAGATACTTGCGTTGTTCGCATCTCTAGGAGTGGAGGGTGATGTTATGACTAATGATGTACCATTTGTGCATTGGTCCTAATGTTTTTCTGGGGATGATTGCGACTCGTCGTTAAAGCGAGATGTTGGATTGACTTAATGTTATCCATGGAGTGGACTGTCTGAAGTGAAACCCAGTGATTATGAATTACTTTGATGAGTCGATGCATATTCTTATGTCATAAGATATATGTTAAGCAAAGTAGGATGACTTTTAGAAGGTGAAGCTCAGACGGTTGCAATGTTTCAGCACAGCTGGTTGATTGTGAAGTTGTCAATGGAGTTGCGCCTTGTAATGTGTAGATTGAGTTAGGTCTTGCTCTGATACGTAATACCGGGGATGAATGCTTGTTTTGATTATTTAGTTGTTTTTGTTTTGAAGGATTGTGAAAGTATTGTAGACTCTCTTTTACTTGATAAGACGTTGTTATGAATTTTTGTAGTTGATGACTAAATTTATTCTTAATTGTTTTCCGTTGCATTAATAAAACGAAGTTGAATACCATGTTGATTATGTTGTCAGTTCATCCGAAATAGTTGTGTTATGTATCTATTTACTAAATGATTGAGCAATTTTTGAGATGATGAAATGTGACATCCTATTTTGATGTTGATTGAAAATTTTTAAATTACTCTGATTTTATTAAAGATATGATGGGGAAAATAGGGTATTACATTTTTCACAAACCCTTAGGATTCTTAGGGTTCATATGAACCAAGATGGTGGTTCATTTGAAGTTGGTCGTGCCTCGAAGCAGCCGCCGACGAAAGCAATTTCCGACCAGTGGCACCCAAGGCAGAGGCAATTTTCGGCAACGGAAATCTAGAAAGAAGTCAGAGCTTATCTCTCTAATCTCTAACGAACAATGTTTTGTTTTGGTGAAGAGAGAGAAAGAGAAAGAGGAGAAAATGGGCTTCCGCCCAGAAACTTATTCTTATAAACACCCTCAGTTCCCATGTGTCGCCTCTTACCGTGCATCGCTAATCATTGTCATTTGATCATCATCCAACATTCATAATCGCACGCCCATCATAAGTGTATGCGCGCATCCACACCTTGTCCAACAGGCTCAAACAATTATCTGAGCCTACACCCTTGCTGAACTAACCCCCATAATCACTTCCTAGTCATAATTCACACCTCCCTGCGCTACTGGACCAAGTCGAACATCTAGACTTTGGCCCTTACTCCCTGACCTGTAGTTTTTACTACCACGTTTAAGACTACACCCCCGTGTATTTTGGGTCTAAATCTAATATCTAGATTTAGAGCCCTGTTATTCATACCCTCTACAAACTGAAAATATACCCCCTGCATTTTATAATTAAAATTAATTAATTAATTTTTTAATTTTATTTATTTATTCATTTATTTATATTTTCTCTATTTTTATTTTATTAATACATTTATATTAAATTCTAAATTTATTTATTTTATTAATTCAAATATTTTTTTATAAATACCTAACCAATCAAATATTGACAATTTTCCACTAACCTAATTCAAACCTTATATATTTTCAAAAAGGATTATGGAGATATTTCTCATTAACTACGAACTTCGTCTAATAACTCCGCAATTTACAAACTCATACTTGGTTTAAGGATTAATTCGAGATATTTCTATAATCCATAAAAAAACACCAACCAACAACTACGAACTACGAATTGGGACTCTGATTCCACATAAGAGGATACGTAGGCATACAACTCAAAATCGTGGCGAGTTCCCCTAATAAAAATTAAAACCCTATTTCCTAAACCATAAATCTAAACCCTAGTATCCTTGTTAACAAGGTAGATGAGGGGTTCATAACACCTTCCTTTCGTCTAAAAAAGACTCAACAACTTAGAATCTCTGACCAAATTAGGATTATCCGTTATATTCTCTTCCCTAGGATAAAAATTAATGGTGGCAGCTCTCATTTTCAAACCTGTTCTAAAACAAATTAAACTAAAATCGAAGGAATCGATGTCATGAAGGACTTAGACCATTGAACCATATTCTATATGTTAAAAAGCGGAAAATGAATTATGAGATACATGCAATTCAGAAAATGGTGGTTTGTTTAAGTTGGTTTCCAAGAATAGTTTAATTTTCAGATTATATACTTCATTAATTTGAATGTTTATATATCTTTAGTGAGGTAAATGGAAAAATAAGCAATCTACATATTATATAATAATATGGGTACTTTCCTCAATGATTATCTAATGTAACTGTGATGAAATGTTATTTATTTTCCAAATAAGTTGTTGCTGATGGGTTTCGAACCGATTACCTAAATGTATATATCACAATGGTTCGTTAGCGTAACTGTTGTGTATGTAGCGTGTGTCCTGACTTATTATCAGGTCTCAAGACCATGGTGGAAAGCACCAGACATACAACCACCCCTTACTTTACAATGGTTGGTCAGACATTGTGGTATCCCTTTTCCAACTGTTGTGGTATGACTTTTTCGTAGTAGTATATAGAAAATAAATTGTGAAAAAAAACTTGAATTCAAAAACTTGTCAAATGTGTAATTGATGTTTAAAACATTGATTGATTGAATATTGAGAGTAGAAATTGAAAAATTATTTGGATTGGATGAAGTAGAAAGGAAACTTGGACTGGATTTTTTTCAGAAGTGAGGAATGGAAGTGAGAAGAGTTTTAGAGTTTTTTTTTTGTTAAAAATGAGGAAGAGGGGGAGTCTGGCGTGTATTTGATTAAAATCTCGTTGGGAAGTGCAATTTCAAAGTTATACGAAGATATATTTTCGTATTAATTTTTGGGGAAATGAGGGTTTGACTCACTTACAAATGGATTTAGTGCGGACGGGGGTGCGCTCGGAAGTACATATCTAAATTCTAGAGGAAACTTTGGTTTTTCACAATCTAGGGTGCATCCAAATTGAGTGAGAGAAGTAATTCCCTTAAATGTACTTAATCCCCTTATTGTTGGACCAATAATCCTTGGCCCAAGCTAGTTTCTTTTTGTGCATTACTCTTCACTCACTTAGTGGTATTCACATTCCCTATTGGAATACCAATACTTCCCATAAAATTTGGAGGTTAAACTCCAAACGCATCCAAAATGCAACCAATTCTGTATTTTTCTAGTTTTGTATGGTAAGAATGTTAACTTCCGGACGAATTACATAAGTTAACTTTTGGATTTTTCTAATATGCATAGTTTGTTTGATTTTACATGTTCTATCCCATGAGTTTTACTTCTTTGATTATGATATAATTTATATGATTTAATTAAACTTTGTTGTGGCCTAACATGCATTGTTGGTGTCATTTCATTTCATGCAGAAGTATTGTCTTCCCGAGCTCACTTGTTTCTAACATCGTCTTCCTGAATTCACGTGTCTCCGACATCGTTTTCCCGGAGGCATGTGTCTCATGCTGCTTCCCCAGAAGTCCTAGAAGTCCAACATACTAAACATATTGTTATCGTTCATGATGTTTTTTCCAAGAGGTCCCTCATACACCTCACTTATTTAACAATTATGCATAATATAAATGGCTTAAAATATAAGGTTTATTAAAATATGTCAAAATTATAACAAACTTACTGTCCAGGAGAGAAATATATTGTCTTGGGTTAGTCTAAAACTTAACATCTGGATTCTTCAATGAATTGTGAAATAAACACACTATCATGATTTTAAAATACATTTAGGGATTAGTCCGGAAGTTAACTCTGAGCTCACTTTTCCATCAATGCCTTAGAAAAATATAATTGACTCACATACGAAGTGTTTTGGCGTACATGGGTGTCTGAAAGTTAACTTCCTAACTATTTCAAAAACAATTTAGATTTTTTAAGGGTGACTCTTCACTACTAAGAGTGAGAAGAACAACTCCTTTTTTTCCTCCCATTTTAGAACTCTCGCACGCAGCAGTAACAGTTGATCCATTTAGTCCAATTTCATCATCAATAGCTTTGTCTCATCTTTAGTTGTGGATTCAATCATAATACTTAGAACCATTTTTGAGAATCTACTAAGCCGATTATTTCAAATGGATTAAAATTTTAAATTATAATTAAATAAAATCTCATAAAATATATGTAACAGTTAAATCCTAATATAATAGAACTCTTTATTTATTTTTCCCTATAGCTAATACATGGTTGATTTTGTTAATAAGCTAATCAATTTTCTTGGTCCCATGATGCCACTAAGCCATTTCATTTCCGCTTTAACCGGCTGCTCTCATAATCTAACAATATCATTCTAATGAGCTCCATAAAAACATCCATAAAAGCAGCCGCATATTTTGATTACATGTTTTGTTTTATTATTTCTTTAATTTTTTGTTATTTTGTAGGAACATAACAAAGTTTATTTCACAACCTTTCCGTAAAGTTCTCAATTCTATTTTTTTTAGTATGTTCATATCTTATATCCACGCTGACCATGCCCGTGGACTATATGTCCCTTCCAAAATTTCCACATATTCTAGGATGTTGTCACCCTCAATCTAAACTACCATCCTAAATTTCAGATAAAGGAAATAATGGTTATATTATTATATTGGCTCAAAATATGCAGTCATGAACATATTAAACTACAAGTACTAGCTAATAGCTATATATTCATTACATCACAAACCCATTTCCATAAATAATGGACTGGTTCTCTTGGTTATCCAAGACCAACCTAGACCCTTTTCTACTCTACGAGTATAGCCTCACTTTTACCCGCAATGAGCTTCAACTACAAGACTCAATCCACTTCACCCATGAGTTTCTTCAAAGCATGGGAATTTCAGTTGCCAAACACAGACTAGAAATTCTCAAGCTTGTCAACAAACAAAATGACAAAGTGCCAAAAAACACCAATAAGTTTTCTTTGGTTGTCAAAAAGTATATAAAGAAGTGTCTTAGCAAGGCCATTCTCCATAAAGAAGAAAAGAAAAACATGAACATGATTTCATTGCAACAAGAGCAAAATTGGAACCAAGGGAAATGGAGAAGAGCATTGGTAAGTGAGGAACTCAAAGGAGAAAAGGGTATGCATAGAAATAGGAAAATAGCATTTTCAGGGCCTTTAGATGGAAGAATGTATGATGAGAAAATGGTAAATACCAACAAAAAAATGTTGAAATTTTCAGGTCCTCTTGATGGAAAGATGAATGAAAGAAAAATGGTTTACACAAATAGAAGTCCTATGAGAAATAGGCCTATTGATGGAAGGTTTGTGGACACTACAACAAGAAGTCCAAGATTTTCTGGACCAATAAGCCCAATTGATTATCATTGTCTCTACAACAAGACAAAAGATTATTATGATTTTGAGGATTCTGAAATGTGGCATGCATTGTTTGAAGATCTTAAACCAACTTGATTTTCTTTTTTGGGATTTTCTTGGTGTGACATTAATGTTTTCTTATGCAATGATGGTTCTTGAATATTGTAATATTTTCTTTTTGGTGTTTCTTTTTTGTTTTTCTCTGTCAACTTGAATGTTTCATTACGTTTCAACGTGTTTTCACACGACGTTTGGCGTGAATTCAAAAGATTACGGTAAAAGCAAGTTGTATGACTCCAATATAAGATTATCCTAAGTAATTAATGATACTAGTACATAGAAAAGCTTATTAAATAGGATTGATACTAGTAATTGTCTAGATGTTCTATAACGGTATGAATTAGCCACTAATTTAGGATGAATTAATTATCTATTCAGTTCTATGCTCATTACATTGGTGTGCATTTGTTTAGAGAAACTACCATCATGGTGCTAACATGTGAAATGGATTCTTTCATATATGATCATTTAAATCATCACCTTCCATTATAAATAAAAGGAAAATAAATATAAAAAAATAATAATTTTAGACAAACATGTAGACACTTAAAAAAAGAAAAAAGAAATGGAGAAGAATTATGATGGCTAAGCAATTAAAAATGTAGCTATTTTTTCGCACTTTCATAAATTTACTAAAAAAATGATATTTTATCTCAGTTGGGAGAAAGATATTAACATAGTTAAAGGTTTGTGGTAATGAAGAGTGTGAAAGTATGCACTCTTTTAACAGTTCAGGTTAGTAGTTGACGTAAAAATACAACGTGTAACATATCATTATGATTGTAGAAATCAACTTTAGTAAAAGTTGGAATGGTCATGAGTTTGATATTTTTTGGGAGATTTTCTCAACATTTCACCAATCAACTGTAGAAAAAGTTGGAATGGTCATGAGTTCGATACCCAGTGTCAGTTAATTATTTTCAGACATAACTAGTAGAGAAGGAAGTGATGGTTAAAGAACTAGAAGTGTTCGATACTCATTTGTTTTCTAATATAACTTAATTTTTCATATTATTAATTTCTAATTCAGTTTGAAATGTTATATAATTAATGAGGGATTGGTAAAATATTCAAACTATAACATACAAACACAACATACAATAATACAAACAACAATATTTATCAAAAAAAGAGAGCAACTTACCTTAACAAAACAACAACATACCTCAACAAAAATATCTAAAATAACCCAAACAACAACATTTATCAACAAAAACAAAAACTTACTTTAACAAAACAACAACATACCTCAACAAAAACATCAACATACCTAATAAAAAACGTCCACAATAACACAAACAACAATGTTTATCAACAAAAACAACAACTTACCTTGATAAGACAACAATATACCTCAACAAAAACATCAACACACCTCAACAAAAACATCTACAAAAACAAAAACAAAAACTTACGTTAACAAAACAACAACATATCTTACCAATAAGTTAACCCCTTTACTTATCTAAACAAAAATAACAATATAAAACATATAATCACACCTTAACAACAAGAAAAATAATAAACTCTATGTTGGACACATATTTAGAACAAGAAAAATATTTCACATATATTTTAAGCAAGAAAAACATTTTGAACAACAACAACATCATAACTTATAAAATGAGTTGTGGAATACCTTTTCTTGAAAAGATTCGTGAAAATTGAAGATAAAGAAATGAGTTACTTATTTCGTCTTACAAGTTTCGTGACATCTTTTCTTGATTCATACTAGTTGGAGTTGGATAAGTTATGTTGAAGTTTTGTAAAGATATGATGGAGTTTTGAGTGATTGAGAAAAGACGAAAGAAGTTAGTATTTCACTTTGACCACAATATATTCTAAAGTACATTAAGTTAGTTTATATAGATAAAATATTTCACTATGGTTGATAAGAGGAATCGTGGTGAATTATCCTCATACTTAACTATAGTTATTAATCTGAACCTTGATGAAAAGTGTTTAATTTTTATTTAAACATAGAAGTTGAGGGAACACACTCTTTTTGTAACGAAAAACATAAAGTTGTTGATGTTGGGATTCGAAGCGTGTCACTTCTTCACATATCTTAACTGTTGTTTAGTTGGACTGTGGTGATATGTGATATAAAAATAAAAAATAAATAAAAGGCATATAATGAGTATATATTACTTCGGTTGGATAAGTGGTTGTAATAAAATTTGTTACAAAATATATATTTTGTAGTAATGATTTATATATTTATGATTTTAATGCGAGAAGACGGAATGAAGACACAAATTTGAAGTAATAGTCGAGTTGGGAAATAATTGAAACAACAACAAAATTTAGAAAGAAATTGATGGAAATGAATAGAAATTGGATGTCACACTCTTTTTATGAATTAGAAAGGATGATAAATTTTAATGAAGATTACGACAAAAAAATTGGTTTTTTTTATAAGATCAAAACATGATCCAATCTAAAATCAAATGAATAAAACTCTCAAAATCATTCAATATATTTTCTTAACAAAATTTAACCTTCCCATCTATTCATCTATTCATGATCAACGCCT